AAAGCAAAACCTGTGTAATATACAGATATTAATGTAAAGAGGATCCGGGCATCAGGTTTTATTGGTTTTTAGAAGTTTTTCTCGCTGAAAAAAAAAGTGTTACGTATCCGGTACTATTAGACTTTCTCAGTCCTTTGTGGTGTGTTCCTTTACCTCGCGAGTCTTCACACTCGGGATTGGAGCGTCGCGGACATTTCTCTTGATCCAATCGAACCGGCTCAACTTTCGCAGCTCCGCTTGTGGAGTCTAGGTAATGAGCTGAATTTTACAACACTTCAACCGAGTTTTCAAGCCTTATCATCCAGTGACTACCTCCAAAACTCTGAATTGATACAACAAAACTTCAAAATTATGAAGACGCTTTCAAAATTGAATATTCTACCGCTACCAAGGCCATAAATAAACTATAAAATCGAACAAAAGAGGCAGTAAATCGAGGAACAAAACGCTCAAACACTTACGGTATCATATACAATGGAATCAGAATTTCGTTGACAGGTAAATAATAAAAACGTATACAGTTAACTCACATACACACCTCATGGTACAGCCTGTACAAAATCTATGTTCACAATCGGTTGCAATTGCATCTTGAGGCTCCGAAGGGCAAATTACGCATTTGTTGTCACTAAATTCCATTGTAGTTGAATAAAATCCACGGAGAGAGGAAAGTGTTCTGCTTTAGGGTAAATACTTCAGTCCAGGTTTTGAATAAAAAGGGAAATAGTCCACTACACCGGCGCTATGAGCGTGTATAACTACTAATATCTGCAAAGTTGCCCTACATGTTGATCTTTCGACTGACTTTTTATCCAATCAAATCGCGTGGAAAAATATTTTGTTTTCCTCACAATTCACATCACGTGATTTTGATCAAACCGGATGTAATTTGTGGCGTTACTTGACAAATCAGTTTTCATTAGGCCTAGACAGATCATCAAACTGCGGCAAGTGTCGTATTCCGTTTTCACTTGTTCTTTTGGAAAACTTTAACTTGAAGAGTGTTTTTCGACAACAGATGAAAGCTGGCTTTATCCAGCAGAAGTCTGTGATTCTTTTTGGAATTATTCATAACCATGCATTGATGCCAGCGCATTCTTACAGCCTTGACCGCTGGTAACATGTGCATGGCTTGGGCTTTGGGACGCCAGTTGTTTCATACAAAAGTTAAGTGTTGGTTTCGACAATTTTCGCACTGATCGTCGCAGTAGCAGAGGAATAGTGAACGTTTTTTTATTTGTCAGCGACACCATGAGCCGCCATTAATACGAGCGAAGTGGTAAAGGTACACGTTGGTTNTGAACGTTTTTCCATTTGTCAGCGACACCATGAGCCGCCATTAATACGAGCCAAGTAGCAAATGTCCACGGTGGTTTGTAGTTGTGTTCGATGGAAGGCTTTATCAAAGCGTTTCGCTTTTCTACTTTGGCTATGGAAGAACTGCTGAAGTGAACAAAGTTTCAAGTATGTATGCAATATCTCTACTGATTATGCCGTGATATTGAAAGTCTTTATGGTATCTAAAGTTGTTGCTTTGAAAATAATTCTCAGCTATCAGTTTGTTTACAAGTTATTTTTGGCTTGATTACTCCAGCGACGATCGCCAAATTTAAATTTAATTTGATGATTTTATAATAGTGGCAGACAGCACTTTGCGGCCAATACTGTAAGTGCTACAAATAGTGTTTTGTAAACCATCTATGAAACACACTGTGCATGCTCTTACAATTCTATGTTACAAATCTTCAGCTAGACATTCAGTAAATTTCTTTCCTACAAGGTCAGAATGAATGCATCACAGTGCGTGACGCCTTAATAAAATTTGTCCTAAAGATAATTCTTGAAATGCTTCATAACAAGTTTTAACGTTGCAGGGTGTCTTAACAGAATAATGATTCCGCGGCGGAGAGTTGGTTCTTTGCTTTGTCGATACACGATTTGCTTACATTTTGAAAACAGCCTGCCGCATTAAGATGTGAGTGATTCCCTCTCTAGAAAGCTTAGAATGTTGTAAACAAAATACATATTCAGTATGAAACCAACATTTGGAAAGTTTAGGTTTATGTTTTTTATCATAAAAGTAAGGTGTCAAAACTGAAGGTACTACGCAAGTCCACTTAGGACCATTCTAAATAATCAACGGATATTTAAAGATCAGTCTATAATTACTGACAGTTTATGTTAAGTGTCTTGCCAAAAAATAGTTAAGTTGTTTGTTTGTCATTGAGTTCGCTTCACGAACAACATAACTTTTCCAATCCAGTCAGTTTAGTTTACATGATCTTAGTTCGAATTTTAAATTCCCTGAATCCCTAAGGAACCCTAATTTACATCCTCTAATTTGAAGTCAACTTGCAGAGTGCACTGAATCCAGAACTGGAGTCACTAATATCTTAGGTGAAATAAATATTTTTCTAACTTTAGGCATTGTGGTGATCTGAAATCTTGGCTATCTAGGTGAAAGTCCAAAAGGTACGTCTGATTCTTTAAATATCTCAAAGGGTAGAACATTACATTGTCAAAGAAAATAATTCCAAGATTAATTGTACTATCACAACTGATTGTCTGCTTATTCGTGTGGATCAAATCAGATTGACAGCGGGACACAAAGCCCAATTTGAATTGCCTTACACTAGAGGTGTTTTCGGAGGCGGCGGCAGTTTTGAGTACTGAGTTTCGTAGCCTGCGAACACAGACGGATTTCCAGCTTTTTCCTGTCATTGGATAACAAATCTTGAAGATTCGGTTGAAGTGTTGTAACGTTTAGCCCATTACCTAAGCTTCCCACAACTGGAGCTGCGAAAGCCGAGCTCAGAACGAGAGAAATATCCACAACGCTCAAAAGCCTACCGCGGAGTAACAATGAGGTCATGCTGAAATTAACATCACGTAAACAGCGATCCTACTCACCACAATTTTGCACAAAAGACGCGTTATAACCGGCCTCATTTTCTCTTGAAATGAAATATTACGGATGTGAGTAAATATTGAAAACAGGCTGCGAATAGAACCGCGAATTACATTGTCCCGAATTATCACAAAGGCTACTCATGAAAAGTTTACACCAATAATTTTTAGAACAAGGTGAATGAATTGCATCAGATTTCCGTTGATAAAGTTCCTCGGCTTTTTTGCTTGTTGACTGGTCGATTCTAACATTTGCTGCCAAATGGTCAAGTTAGTTGAAAATACAATCTCAAAGTTAAATGTTTACATTTTTTGTACCAAACAGGCAACTCTCTCAAATCGCTGATTTCGAATCATTTTTTCCGGCTTGATGCTCAGACGTAAAAATATAAAAATACCCATTTTCCTCATAGTCCACTTTGACATTGAACAATGATTCTGCTCGCTGCTTCAAGTGAACTTAGATTCTTACTGATATTTTTAAGCTTCAGTTTTGTGTCAATCATCATGTACACTTCAGAGCATACTCATTCAGTGCTCCAAGAGTCAGATCAGACTCAGTGAACATGAGATCAACAGATTCAGCTGGAGTGTTTGTATTTTTGCAGATTATGGTTCACGTGATCTTGCTTCGATTGTTTTGATTTCCTGAATTTGACAAACCAAAAGATCTCCTAATTTGCACTCTACTCAGTTTAGAGTGTGGAGAATTGAGAATTGGTCAGTCATGTTTGAAGTAAAATATCTTTTTAACTATTATGAAATCATGGAAAAAAGGTCCCCGTAGAAAACGTTTCTCAGTCTTCGTAATCTTCAAAAACTTAAACGAAACAGCTAAAGAAACGAAATCCAAGATTGATGAAGTATCACACAGCAAGAGCTACCGTTTCCATGGCGTGACTTGCAAGTCGAGCTAAGGCCCGGGTGGAAACCGGAGAAATGCCTGTGACATTTAAAACTCGAGTGCGAAGAATGCGAGGAAGAGAACCACAAGTCTGAGCTACCTACAACAGCACTGTGCCGAAATCGATGCTGCAATCATGTTGTGTCGCGCTCCCATAAACAGCAAACCAAGTCAACAATATTTCAAACCGGCAAACTGAGATATTACTGATATGCGTCATGGATAATAAGTCATGTTGCACGTCTTCAAGACAAAAAAACTTGCCAGCCAAATGCTCAAAATTATATAGTAGCGACGGTGAAAAAACGAGTAAGCGGAAAAAGATGGCATATGGGATAGATAGTTCGAAATATAATTTCGTCGACACCCAACTAATTCAAAAGTTTGACTCGGTTCACTCGAATTGGCTTTGAAAAATGAATATTCAAA